ACGGCTATCCAGGTGTATTGTGCGGGAGGCAACCGATCTAGTCCCTGCGCCGATCGACGGGCACTTACCGCTGCCCTGTATTTTGTTTCCCCGGCTTTGCTTCATGCCGTGAACTACTACTCTTGAGCATCTCTAGCAGACCCCTTAAATCGCCAAACTGAAAACGCGGTTTTAGTTTGCAGAAAACGCATTTTAAGGATTGATTTGAGCTGTTGCCAAGCAGACCCCTTAAAGTTAAACTGTAAAACCGAATATTCGTGTATATTCTTCGTCACGTCTTCTTCCTCTCACTTGTGTCCACGACCGGCCAAATACGATGCCGCTGATGTCCAGAACGTCTCGCACGAAGCGCCCCAACGTCGCCATCGCTGCTTGAATTGATCTAGAAGCTAGCTAGCGCCGGCGTCCAGGAGCTAGCTAGCTAGCTAATCGATCTGACCCAGGAGCTAGCTAGCTAGCACCCGTCGCCCTGGCCAATCGATCCAGAAGCTAGCTAGCTAGGTAATCGATCTGACCCAGGAGCTATCTAGCTAGCACCGGTCGCCCTGGCCAATCGATCCAGAAGCTAGCTAGCTAGCTCCCTCGTCATAGCTAAGTCGCCGGTGTCATGGAGCCGCCGCATCCCGTTCCTCTTCCTCACATCGAGCATGAAACGGGATCAACCATGGCCGCAGGCACGCGCTCGATCCTTTTCCAGTGCAGAATTTTGTTGGAGCAGGGAGAAACCGACGGCTGGTATGGACCTTTTTGCAGTGCAGAATTTTGTTGGAGCAAGGAGAAATCGACGGCTGGTATGGACGGCGGCGCGCGGAGAGAGGCGGCGGAAGGACCCCAGTTCATGGCATGTATATTGTCCTCAAACCTCGCGTTTACGGTGGCCTCTAAAATATTTACGGGTCTGTTCTGGACCAATTTGGTCCAGAACTGTGAACTCGTCAGAATTTTACAGGTTTGGTGTTTTTAAGGGGGGCTGCTAGAGATGCTCTTACCATGTGCATTGGTGTTCTAGATTCGATTTGATTGTTACAGCCAGACGATACCTGCATTTCAAAATCTATGGATCTTTTGGAAGACATCATCAGATGTTTCAGGCCTACAAAAATGGAAAAATAAAAGGTCGACGGCTTGCAGCCAATCGCTGGTACAAAAGCAATGCCAAGAGACCAAGGGCCTGTTTGGATCAGCGTTTTCGTTTCAAATACCTCCGTAAAAAATACATGCCTCGCTCGGTCGTTTCGTTTCCGGCCGGAAATTGCTCACTGGCCGGTAAATTACACGTGTAAAGAAAACACCTCTGTATTATTTTACACCTAATCCAAGCACGGCCCAAGCAAGCATTGCCGCTTGCGAAATCAAATAATTCTGCCTTGTAGCGATACAACTGTTGCTTAGATGCAACTACTCTACAATCCAGTAAGCAGCTTGTACCTTAATCGCATGGCAATAGCAACAACAAGACAGAGCAGAGTTATCAAGGCCTGTCAGAAGGCTGGTAGGTAGCAAAGGGTGGTGAATAACGCAAAGCTTGAAGGATATCTGAACAATGAACTTCTTTTGTCAATTCCCCATCGTCGCGTAACACTTTAGCCCGTCCCAGAACTGCACACAGTAAGAACAAAAGCTTCAAGGAGAGATGTTGGGATGAGAAGATTGCCCCTAAACAAGGATTTAAGTAAAATACGTGAGCATGCAGGCAGGCATTTGTTTGCAAGTTTTCCAAAAGTGAACAAACATGTTTCTCGAATTGATTGGAAACAGAAAGGCGAAGTTTACCTTGATGCTTGATGATTATCACACTCAACTAGTCAGCCGCACCGATCTCCAAAGGCGAAACTCTTAGTGTGCTACTTAAGGTAGCCACTCAACTACATGTTGCTGACTTAACTTTGACTCTTGCTCTGCGTTCCTCGTAAGAAGCTGGAACATGAAAGTATTAGGAAATGCACTTTCACATGTAAGGTACAAGAGGGCTGAAATCAAATGTGTCGAAATAAAGAGGAGATGACAAAGAGGATAATAATTATGCATAAAGTATTGGAGTTATTATAGAGAACTGCTAGAAAGTTGAAAGCATCGATTCTTGACGGACTGGTGTTAAGACAACACTAAAAACGTTTTGCAAACTCACACGATAAAAAACTTACGTTCTGTTTCCCGTGACAGGAGAGGGATATGTTTTCTCTTCTTCTTAGGGGATTCAAGTGGATTAGGCTCTGCATTTACATTTAACTCCTTTCAGATCACTAAAATATTACATCAAATTTACACAAAGATCTAAATGTATGTACCTGGAATAGATAAACAGGTCAAAGCCTCATCAAATATAGCGGCTTGGAACATATACTGATGGTATTCATCCTTCAAGTGTTCAATCAAAGCCTGACTGGCATCTAAACAGGAATAATAGTGCACTGGAAATAGTTATGTCACGCAAAAACTAGAATTCTGGCAGATAAATAATAAAAACATTAGATGGCCTTCACTTTACTCGATATATAGCAGAACTGACATCAAGTATTTCCGAAATGAAGGTTACATTTTTGTGAAAATATAATACCATGGTCATAAGTTATATGAGACGGGTATATTTCATTTACTGTCAAGCAATTGTATCCGACTGCTGTTAAATCTTATTTAATTTTTAAGCATGCATAATTAACCAAAAAAGGATGATATAATGTTCACTGTGATCTACAATCTCACTATTTTTACAATATAATCAATATACTGGAAGCAGCAGGAAAATCATAGAGTTCACCGAGCAAGGAATGAAGACATGATGTTAGCAGATCATAGTACAACAATATTTCAAGGCTGAAAATGCTCCCTGGAAGGTACAGAGTCAAGCACCAAATTTCCAGAGACATACCTGATGAACACATGAAGCTGACTCCATCGAATAGACAAGATCGCAGAATCAATGGAAGCTCTGGTGCCATTGTATATTGAGGTTTTCTAGGTGTCTTGGTAATATCCAGCAATGAATCAACTACCTGTACCAAAATAAATGAGCTACCAAATGTAAATAATCCAAACAAATGACATAAGGGGAACTTTTGCGCCAAGTTCAATTGTGTAATTCACTTTACTGTTCAAAAAAACAAAAGGAAGCTTCAGAAAGAGGAAAAAAAATACTCACACAAGGTGATTCAAGGCCTTGACCTACAAGAAAAAGAACAGCTACCATGCAACGAACTTGATGCCACAGAAAGGCGCTACCCCTGATATTCATGGACCATAGCTCATCATGGTTGGACCTTGAAAATACAGAGCACTTCCATTATTTAGTCCAGTAACTAGAAAGAAAGGAGAGTTTGAGCAAAATGCAATTTAACCTTTGGTCACACGCAGAAATAGTAAAATCTGTAATGCATCGCTTGTAGTTGCTCACGTTTGCTGCATCCATCTTACAGAAATTCCTTAAGTCATGTTCCCCAATGAATTTAAGTGCAGCTTTCTGCATTTTCTGTTGACAATTTAAAGTCAATGGCTCGGCAAAAATGGCAAATATAGCAAAAAACAGAAATCAAGGATAACATAGTTACCGACACATCCAAGCCCCCCTTCCAAAACAAGTACTTATATTCCCTACCCAAGCAGGAGAATCTGCAAAAAAAGAAGTGGGTCAAGAAATAAAATTCCAATTACTCAGGAACTGAGTACAACTAGGCAATAAATAGCATGATAAAAAAGAGAGATAAGAAAAAAAGAAAAGAAGCAAGGAAGAAGCATCTAATCATTTGTCAAAGCCATTTGTGGAAGAGCGCCTCTTACACTCAGCAACCAAAAAAGTACTAAACATAGAATTCAAGCTAACCTTGCGAGAAAGTCTGCTGCAACTGGACACCAACCTATTACACGTATATCTCGTGGAAGATTTCTATTCAATACACTTACATAATCGATTTCTGAAAGGAAAAATAAAGCACAATTTTTAGTCTGGCAGAAGATGATTGCATGGATGGGCAAGATGCTAGTGAGACGTCAGACTTTGAATGATGAAAACTACCACAAAAATAGCATATTACGACTGCATTTGGTATGTGGTGGATTATGATAATCCCATTTGTCCAACCAGTTTTTTCCTATTTAGTGTTTATTTGATCCGCTTTTGCATACTTTTGTGGCTAACTTTCTAAAACAGATTACAAAATAAGCACAGAGCAGCACAGTTTAGCAACCACAAACTAAGCTTAGAATTTATTATAATAGGAGAATGCTAGAGACTTATCCTACTATCAAGGTAACAATTTGATTGAGCAACAAAGATTGGCACTGCTTTATTTGTTGCTTTCACTATTATGGAGAGCTACAAGAAGGTAGAAGCATACCAGATCTTTCACCCACATTCCCTCCTGCTTCTTTTAAATTTGATCGCAAATATAAGGAGATTACCTGCACGTTGCAACATGGTGTCTTGGTTCATAGACAAAGTTGTATTCCAAAAAAGCACTAATTTCTGCACAACTTCAAAACAACACTCTCTCCCCGTACCTAAAAGAATGTGCCATGCGGGATGCATAACAACAAAGCCTTTCAGGGTAGGCTAGAGTTAAAACCCATAAGATTTTGAAACCTATTCATGGTTCTGGCACGTGGATCGCTGACTTCCACGCACCCCTGTCCATGGCTAGTTCTTTGGTGATATTTCAGTCCTTCAGGTCTCTCTTTACGGACTCCTCCCATGTCAAGTTTGGTCTAACCCGAACTCTCTTGACATTATTAACACGCTTTATCCTTCCACTATGCAGCGGCGCTTATGGAGGACTGCGTTGTAAATGCCCAAACCATCTCAGACGATGTTGGACAGCTTTTCTTCAATTGGTGCCACCCCAACCCTATCACGTATATCATCATGTGGGATGCATGCATAAACCTTTACATCTAGGGCTGGAATTCGAGCCGAGTCGAGCCAGCTCGGCTCGACTCGCTAGAGCTCGTTTCGTTAACGAGCTAGCTCGACTCGACTCATTACTATAACGAGCTCAAACCCAAGATTGGCTCGACTCGTATAACTCGCGAGCTGGCTCGTTTAGCTTGTTAAGCTCGTTTAAGATATAAACATAAAGCCCTCAAATATGATAAAAATAATTATGTATATATTAAACATATATATCACTATATACAATTGTAATTTTCTTGTAACGCGTGAGTCTCCTAGGAGGCTAGGCCTTCAACTGCTCGGCCTTGGGTTGTGCAACTCGGACGTAGGTTGTTTAGTGGCTGATCTTTCTTTGTATTGGGAGTGGCTGATCTATTGTATCGAGCCTAACGAGTTACGCGAGTACTCGTAAGATTGGCTCGTTTAACTTGGTCTATAAACGATCTTAAACTAAAGCTCGGCTCGACTTGTTATTCTTTGAGTTCGAGTCGAGTCTAGCCGAGTCACGAGCTACTTGTTTAGCTCGCGAGCTTCGAGCTTTTTTTCCAGCCCTATACATCTTTCATAAATTATGTATTTAGAAGTTTATGGACCAGTCACATGGAAATATAACATAACTAATTGGCCTTGAATAGTACTTCCGCACTATTAGATAAGGGTCAGCTCTGTACCTACGCATAGGATACCCACTCTATGGCTAGTTTATTTGTGCACGGACATTGTAAGTTTGTTACATGCCATGCCCATTTTGTTTCAGAAATGTACCATGCAATTAACGCATTGTAGAAACCATCGATGTGCTTAGTAAAAAAACATGAATGAATATGCTAACACAGAAAGTTTCATTTCACTATAAGTCACCCACATTGAGTGTAACATGCGGGGTACTGTATGCTTAGGCACCATTACGTTACTGTCTTCTGTAGCAATGTTTTTGTTACAAATCGATGATGATAATTGCATCATGGAGACAAAGGAACACTAGTTATTTTCCACAAGATTTCCTGACAAAGAAAAAATTGAGCAAGGAGTCTGATAAAATTGTTTCTATCCAGAGCTTCCTGCTTACAAGAGACTGCTTCTGTGTTATGGAGGGCTGTAGGATAGGTACCACAGTAGGGACGGCAGAGACTTGACAAGAAGACCATGTATAAGATTGGTTTATGCTCTGCTTAATTCGTTCCTCATAGAGCCATAGAGGATCCCCTTTATATAGAGGCCTAACAATCCAAACAAAAACAATAGTCGTAGATCTTATCTCTAATTAGCTTAAGGCCCGAGCTAAAAGATATCTTCCTTGTTTCTCAAAAAAAAAACTGTGCTGCTTTCAAGATGTCAACTACTCCCTCCGTCCCATAATATAAGAGCGTTTTTGACACTAGTTTAGTGTCAAAAACGCTCTTATATTATGGGACGGAGGGAGTACATAATTGTGACATTACAGCGATCTTATCACATAGGTGCTCATGTACTTATGCACATAAATTCTATAAACAGTACCGATACCAGTTCAAAAGGCATTTCTGTTATAGAGACTTAAAAGTTCTACTTAAACATAAAAATAAGAGACAAAAATAACTCTAGGACATATATGAGCTAGCACTATCAGTAATTTAAGCATATACGAGACAAGAACTGAATAATACAGAATTATCATGTGTGAGCTGGCAATCCAACATTGAGCTACCTACACATATGCAGTTACCTGTCCAGTAGCAGAAACTCCTTTGTCAGTTCTTCCACACCTAGAATAGCATAAATCTTTCCTACTTCCAACCAGTAATCTTGCTCTTTCAAGTGCTTTGAATATCTCAGACTGAGAGGACCAAGATAGAAGCCCTTAAGAAAACCTTAGATGCCTTTGGAAAAAGCAAAGAAATAGTTCATAGGAGAATTACCTCAACCGTCGGCTCTGTATGGGCTTCTGAAGCAAAGCCATAGAATCTGCACAAGAACAACAGTAGTTGAAAAAAAAACATGAAGAAGGGGACTAAGCGCAACCAAAAGGGTTACAGACAGAAATAGCAAAGAGCAGAGAGCAGATGCAGGTGTCAGTAGAATTCCACGTAATAGTAAAAAATACAGTACAAACTAAGCATTGACTTCCTGTTAGAATACAATCACACCTCTGGCCGAAGTACATGATTTTCAGAGCAATTAGTCGCTTTTGGCAGTGGCTTACATTCCCTACTTGGTGACCTGTGAGGTAAACAAAAAATCACTGATTTTCAAATAGTTGAGGAGGAGAGTATATCCCGTTAATATCAATAAATACATACTGAACTTAATTTCTATCTAATCGAGTGGCAAACAAAAAAATAACAGAGTTCATCAATAAAAAAAGTGCCTTACAATTAATGCAATTAACATGCCTTAAGTTATACCTGTTCTTTTAGAATGCTTCCTTCGAATTTTAGATAAATCATCATGCCCTTCCCCTTTAACATTGCACTATAAGTCGGATGCATATGCACGAGTTAGATCAGATAGAAAGCAAAGTTATGTATACCATAGTTCTTTTCAGAATGTGTACCAATACTTGATTTTCAGTAGATATCGTCATGTGATCGAACGGAAGGCTTACGCCATGGTCTGAGGTTCTACTTTCATGTGATTTTGCATTCTTCTGTACTTGTTGATCACGGCTCTCAGATAAAGAAGATGGTACATTGCCCTCCTATAAAAGTGGAAAGTTAACAAAGCATTGACAAATCAATAACTTGACGTTACGTAACAAGCATCAACATCATTCAAACTCATAAACTTATGCAAGTATTGCTGCATAACAATTAACAACGTTTAACTTGAAATCTATTATGTGCATGATGTGGCCACATTTACATTATTGCCATTATACTGATTGGGTATGCCTATGTGAAGACACTATGGAGTCCTGATGACACTAAGATTTGTTAAATTTACTTGGCAAAGAGCTCATATACAGCACAAAAGCAATTGGCAATATCACTCACATAAAATCCAGGAGTTTAGATCAGTATCTCATACTTAGCAATATGCAGAGCTCTCCTTAATCTCTACCCTCCAGCAACACTAATGACTGACCAGAATAGCCACCATGAGTGGCATGGAAATCATCGTTCATAACAATTGCTAGAGGAGTAATAATCAGCTAAAGAATGAAATCGCTTGAAGCTTCTTGTCTTACCTTGGAGCTGCAGCTACAGGTGGAAACAATCTGGGCAAGCCTCTGGTTCTCCCTCTCCAACTCCTAACCACATCGAATTCACCAAAACATACCAATTAACCAAGAGCACGAGAGGGGGGGAGGGGGGAGGGA